CCCGCTTATACCGTTCAAACCCACAAAGTCTTACAGCGTCTCGAAAGCTCTTAAACCCCTGCCAGTCATTGATCTTCTGCAAGTATTTGAGTTGGCGCATCTTTGGCATTGTAATTCCTAAGAGTGCAATGGTAATCTTATCATTAGTTCTCAGTAGCCGTATCATTATTAGAGGAGACGGTTGTAAGATTCCTATAATCTGGTCCTTTGGCTCATTTACTTCGTTCTTCACTTTCGCCTTTTACAGACGCTTCCAAAATACAGAAATTATTGTGTGAGTTCTCTTCTTCTTCTTCCCGGCACGCCGGGGGCGCGCTGGGGCTAGGCCCCAAGCACAGCTTCCCAGGTTGGTCGGTTGAAGGAAAAAAAGGAGGTTACCGAAGGTCATGTATACGCATCTTTTTTTCTTCTCGCCTCCCCCTGTGCGATTGAACAATCTCCCGCGAGTCGCTTGAGACCAGAGCTCGAAGGAGAGCTCCCAGGCGTCGTGGAGGTTAGTCGAGGAGAGGCTGGCGGCAAAGCTACGCTGGGAAAACTGAGCAGTAAAAATATGCTACCCGCACAACTCCCTGCAGCCCGATCTCGTTGGCGTTGTGGCGCTCCACGGTGCCATTCGCGCAACACCGTCTCCGCGCACAAAGACCCCAGCTCCGAGCTTTCCCCAAGGCCTGGAGATGCTGAACAAAGGTCGCGAGCCATTCAGCCTCGACGCCCTCCTCGGTCAAGGAACTCACGTCACGTCTCCAGCTCGGGAAACGAGCACAAGTAAAGCAAGAGTTGGATGTTGGTGCTCGGTCTCTTGCAGCACTGCGGAAGCTCACTACTTTAAACAAGTCAAGGGCACTACGGCAGCCGTGTGTAAGACCCTGGCTAGCTGCACCCATAAACGAACAGGACAAGCAGCTCACACTCAGTCTTGTGTGAGGTTCGATGCTATGCACTGTGAACGTCAGCGTTTCATGGGCTGCGGCTGCGTCTTCTTGTCTCTCTGCGCATGCTTGCACGAAGAGAGGGCCAAGCCCTCCATCTTCAGGGCGTGCGAGGGCCTCGGGAGGGCTTGGAGAGGGTTTCCATGCCCGCGTTGTTTGTTTGGCCGTGTTTGCGGGCTTCTGTTGCCGCTACAGAATGGCTTGCTCCTGATGCAACTTTTGGGTGCAATGTTCCGCCATGAAGGTCACCTGCCTGTTCAGAGTCGGCACGGTCATGTTTGTGCCAATTGGCCCGGGACCCATTGGCATGCCACCCATCCCGATGCAGTTTCAGGAAGTGGTCAGGCGCCGGAGACGGCAATGTGGCATCTGCCGGATGCTCTGGCAATCCCTGCGTTTATTGGCATGCTTGGCAACAGGGACAAGCACCCGCAAATCCCACCCCTGCCCCGATCATCCCCGGAAGAATCCAATGACCCCATGTACAACGCCCTGGCTAACTGGCACCTACAAACGAACAGTAGTTCCTCCCCACAAAATAACCTACAGAGGTGCCGAAGCCGCGTCGGCCTTGGAGGGTGCGTGAAGCTCCTTGCCAATCAAAGCAGTGTATGAGCAATGCAACACGGCATCCTCAAACACAGAAGATCTTGAGCAACAGGGAGTGTGTCCTGCAGTTTTCGTAGGGGATGCGTTTGACATCCCTCAGCCATCATGCTGAGACTGGACACAGCACTGATGATGCCGAAGAGGGTACCCCGAAAGTGTCCCAAACCCTGTTTAAGCCGAAAAGCTTGAGTTTAATTTAATAAGGGGGCGCAGAACATTTAACCCAGGCCCTATGAAAAGGCAAGCTTCGTATAAGGCGTTGGTTCATATAAACCTATACAAACCTATAAACCTACAGACCTACCTATAAAGCCTGTAAACCCTAAACCGATTTAGCAGAAGTTGAAGATATTCCGTGCTGCTCCGGGGCATCTTCTGTCCCTTCCTGGGGATCCTTGGATACGCGCTGTAGTCAGCTAAGGATCGTTTGTCGGTTCCCCGGAACCCTAAACCTTGAACCCCAAACCTAAGACATTACATCCTAAACTTGTTAAGCCCTGAACCTTGAGCCCTATGGCCGGAAACCAACAATGAGCCTGGTGCAACGCCCTGTATAGAAAGCTGCGGCACCTGGCAGGCCGTGCGTCGCGGGTGCTCATCGTGGCCACGGGGCAGGGTTTCGCAGTATGGCGCGATTTTCATTGCGGGCGCGGCGCAGATGTACGAACCAATCAACATAAATCGACCCGGATCTGGTGTTCGACTCCTTCAACGCAAGGGCTACTTGGGTGGGCGTGGGGTTTGCTAACTACTTGGAAGACTTGCTGCGTTTATGTAGGTGTGCCAAGCTTGGTAAGCAAGCTCAGTTGTTTGGGATCCCAAGTGATCGCTTTTGCTCACTGGGCAAAGCTCCCTCAGCTGTGCACCTGTTTTAGGGCAGCCGAATGACTGACGTAGGATCTCGGTCATGCCATCGAGCGATCAGCCATTGATCTCATCACTGCAAATGAGAGCTGAAAGAGGTTTCCTTCACAAGTCAAGGCATCGATCGATGCGACGCTTACCTGAACAATCAAGAACACCCAGTATGGGGAGTGGAGGGTGGGACAAAGCAGCAACGATCGGGTAGCAGATCTGGGTCTTCCGATCTGCCCATCGGGAGCGCGTGGCTTCGAGAACTACGGCAGAGAACTGCCAAGCGCGAGCCTCACGAGAGAAGAGAACTCCTCCCACATCCTCCCACCATGTTATGAGGAGGATCTTCAGCATTTGAGTTCGGCGAGGAGCCATCCGTGAACACGACCACATCGCGAGGGCCCAAGCGAAGGATCGGCCTCGGCGGACCATGCTGGACCAGGTAGAGCCACTTATGCAGAGCAAAGGTTAATGCCGACGACAGCGAGCCGCCAGAGGATCCCCCACAGTACTGCCTCTCAGCGATGGCGCGCAAGTCGGCGCGACCAATCTTGCCCCAGAGCTGCGAGGCCCCGAACATGAGCTTGCCTCGGAGCTTTCCGGTGTAACCTGACGCGAGAATTCCAGCAACCAGGATGTCTGCGATCTCGTCGACAAACTCCACCTTGCGCGCGAGCTTGATCTTGAGCACGAGCTGAGACAAATCGTACGTCATGCCGAAGATGGTCGGTTCAAAGCCTCTCTGGAGCTTCTTCACGTCGAAGCGAGCGCCAAGCCACCAGTAGGACCAGATTATAGGAATCTTACAAGCTTCTCCGCTAATGATGCAGTTACTGAGAGCTAAAGTCAAGGGTTAAGGCTTAAGGTCTCAATTCATAGAGTAAATCAAGAATGTTCAACTTCTACGACGACAAGTACGGCTTTGAGTTCCAAGACTCGATCGAGTCAGCGGACGTCGCTGGGTAGCTAGGTGGTCTTCCCTGAACCCACAACTCCTAACTTGTTACACAGCATGCGGCCAGAGCTGCAAGTCCGGTCATTCACGCAAGCCTGCCATGTCGGACTGCATTCAAGAAGGGTGGGCTTCGTCATTAAATGAGACTGTTCGTGAAGCAGAACATGTTCACTTGACATGCTCCCTTGAAACCTGTCCCGCGCAACATCCGTGCCTGACCGCCATAATGGGGTCCAGACGGTTGTTTAATCATTAATCAGATGAAAAGTGAATGCAAGCCATCGCTTGGGCTGCAGTTGGAGCCAAGACAGCGGCGAGGAGCAAGTACTTCAAAATTGTGCTGATTGACAAGCTGGACACAATGTACAGCATCTGTCTGCAACTTTCTGATCAATTAGAAGCGCTCAACAAGACTTAGGCAGCATCACCTTAAAGACACAGCCAAGCACGCCCAACAGACTGAGAGACAGAGAGATGAGCACCAGACAGCGCGAGAGACATGGAGGGGAGGAAGGTCACCAAAGACCCTCTCAGTTCTTGGCCTTCCCCAGCACCAATTCCGTACCGCAAAACAGCGAGGAATCTGGAACTGGCGTGCTATAGGCTCTCTAAGACCTTAAATTCCAGACCCTCGGGCTTAGGCAGTCACACCCTGTGGAACCGGGTAAGTGACTACAAATGGGGAATACCATACGACTACCCCAAAAAAGGTGCAGCCCATTACCCCTGCTGCTTGACCCGGTGAAGTCCAAAACAAACGTGTCACCGCGTCGGACACCGAGTGGTCAGAGAGGATTAATGAGGATTGCCTGTTACCGGATCAGGCTCCTAGTGGTTCTTAGTGGTACAGGCCTGATAGGCACATGTCATAGGCACCTTCCGGAATCGCCGGCATATCACTCGAGCAGAAAACTGCAGCCAAGTTGATTGCTGCGTTGCATCACTTCACTTGCTTCGATGAGTGATTGAGGCACATCCATGACTGGTCCTGCCTGAGATGTCGACCGGACAGCACTCACGCAAAGAAATGAACACAGCATGCTGTTTGGATTTTGGTCGCAGTCACTCATCCAAGCCAGTAAAGTGATGCGAAGCTCGAAGATTCGGCCCGCGCCAAGCGCAGCAATCAACTTCGCTGCCATTTTCCGTTCGGGTGATAAGCCGGCGATTCCAAGAGGTGCCCTGTAATATCCGGGGAGCCCAGGAAGACACTTCATGACTGCGTGAGCCGGCGTGCGCCAAGTAGGCCTGCATTTGACGCAAAGGGTTCTGAAATTGACCTGCTCATGTACCCGGGGGTTGATTTCAGACCCAGGGTCCACTCCCCGGGATGAGCTGAAAGGCTGACAAAGGAGAGGAAACAGAGAGAGAGAGAGAGAGAGAGTAGTGAGAGAGAGAGAGAGAGAGGCGGGGGAAAACCAGCACACGCCCCGTTCTGACCCTAGGCGGCGGCTTGCCAAGGTTTCAAAAATGATACCATCGCTTGTGTCCTGACGCGACTTTCTGACTTAGGCGTCTTCCTGCCTCAAAAGAGAATCAGTGTTACTCGCCTTTTCTCTGTTGCGGGACTTCTGCTGCATTGGCAGAGCTCCAGGGGCATGCTCTCGCAATTTTCGCGAAGAGATCCCGGTTGCTTCAGATTAGGTTGATGCTTACTTTGCGGACATGACCTTCAGGGCTCCAAACTCAAACTTTTCGATCCGTGTCTTGTGCGAAGTTTTCTCACGCTCATGGCCTTGACCACTCGCTGGTGCTGGTATACAGTTGCAAGTTCCGTGGCACTTCTTCCAGTGCAATCAAGGGCCTCAGTTTTCCCACATGACAATGAGAGGCGCAAGATAGTGCTTCCTCATGGATGCCTTATGAACATGCCTGAGTCTGCTGCTTTCATGTTGGCCCCTTGTCGCAACAACAACTGGACCTGAGTACGGTGTAGCGTGCTGCATTGCTCACGATGCTGAGCCCATTTTTGAGAGGACGACTGTCTCTGCTCGACCTGCGACCGCAGCTGCCAACAGTGGTGTCCGACCTCTGAGCTGCGAGATGCTGCAAGTCTGTGAAATTGTAATTGCCGGCAGGGAAACTGCCGGAGGTCCTGGCCTTGTGAGTCCTGCTTCTCAAGCTTGGCCCGAGCAAGGAGGAGCGCCATTACTGTCGCTCCATTCCCCCTGTTCTGCAGCAAACCGCAGCGAGCTCGCTTTAATGAACCAACAGGGAAACTAATCAGACGCTGGGCCTGCGAGCTGCGTGGTGTAGTGCTGCGCAACCTCCACAGTGCGAGCCACGCGATTTTCACTGTTTTCACTAAGCAGCGCAAGCTTCAAAGCGTGTATCACTAAGAAGCGGAAGCTTCAGAGATCTTCAGAGCATGCATGCCTTCTCCATGCAAGTAGCACAAGCGGCTTTCTGATGACAACAGCAGGCAAGGTGCCTAATCGCCGCTAAACCAACCTTCTTCATGCCTCGCCTTCCAGATCTGGTATCTCCAGCGGTGATTTGCGCTCAATCAGAAGCTTGCACAGCTCGGCTCGAGCGCCAGCAGCGGCTAGGATCATAGGTGTTGATCCATCCTCCTGGGACACCTGCAAAAGCGGCGGCTAGACAACAATTGCAGTTTGTTGCACCACGCAGGCCCACAAATCTGGCTTGCTTTGACTTAGGGCTACTGATCAAACCACGTGCCCAGGCTCTGATCCGGAGAATCTGGATGGCGCATTTGATCCGGAGGGTCTAGAACGATGACTCACTCTCGCTGGTTCACACAAGTGATACGGGGTGAGTACGTACTAAAATACGTTGTTTGGTCTGGAACGGGTATGGAAAGGTATGGAACAGGTATGGAACGGGTATGGAACGGACACCCAGCTCAATATCACTTTTCAGGTATTGCATTC